CCTTTCCCCCCTCCCCCCTGGCCTCCTCCCCCCTCCCGGGGGCACGACCGGGGGGTGCTGACCGAGGCAGCGGGGAAGTCCAGGCCCAGAGGGCTGCTCCCCGCCCTCGCGCCTCCCACCCTCCCAGGCGGACCACGCGGCGGACCGCAGACGGCGCGTGTGCATCAAAGACGCCTCCTGCCTCCCGCCTCCCCCCTGCCTCTTGGCCTCCTTCCCACGCTCCCTCCTCCCTTTCCCCCCTCCCCCAAGGCCTCCTTCCCCCTTCCCCTGCCTCCTGGCCTCCCTCCGCCTTCCGCCTTCCCCTGCCTCCTGGCCTCCTTCCCCCTTTCCCCACTAAGTGCCACAAAGCAGGACCTGGATAGGAGAAGATATGATCCCCCGCAGAGTACACACAACATCCAACGAGCGGGCCTCCGACCCATAGCACACATGCGTCATGGAGTCCACCAATTGCCCGCCGACGGTGCCTCAAACGTGTACTATAACCTAAGCGCGCGCGTAGCGCGCGCGTGGTTCTAGTGTATATATATATATATATATATATATATATATATATAATATAAGATCTCATGGCAAGTGTATATTTATACACAGACAAAGAGCATGGACCGGTAGAGAGGCCGTCCGGCCCCAGGAAACGGGGCAAATCCATTGTTCCCCATGGAGACCGGGCCACTTCGCGCCCAGTTTGGGTTTCGCCCAGTTTGGGCGCTTGTTCGGCCCCAGGGCGATTCTTGGCCGGTATCTTCCTCACCCCCTGCGGCTTCTCTCGGGAGTCCAGGCCAGTGGCAGCCTGTCATCTGCAACCGCAACAAGGTCCAGGCGTGCATAGAGGGCCTCAAGCAGGCGCCAAGCAAGATATCCCCAATAAGATCGCCATGACTTGCCAAGACAGAGCAATATTGCCTCCAGACACTTCCAGGACAGCACATCACGTCCTATGACTGCCCTCAGAGGTCTTCCAGGAGGGCCCCAAGGACCAACGTCACTTCCTCCGTAAGCATTTTGGCTCAAGCCATTTTGGCTCAAGCGATTTGGGCTCAAGCAAACGTTTTGGGCTCTGCGGAGAGTGCAGTGGCCCTCGTCGTCCCGAACATGCTCGACGAGCGCACATGGTTTATCATGTTCAATGTTTTGCCGCTGGTTGCCGTAGTCAAATTTGCCCATCAATCATCGGGGAGGGACCTCTTGTCGCGAAGTTGCTTAGACTGTAAAGCAATCGGTGCAGCCATAAAGCGGCTATTCATCACACCCGAGGGCCCGTTGCATCGTCAATTGAATGAAATGGCGCGCAGGCGGCTCACAGAGCAGGTAACTTGGGGATGCCCGCGGATCTTGCTATGCATCATCTGTTATAACATATGGCGCATACTGGAGGACGATATTTCCGACCGGTCGCTTTTTGTCAACGTGGCGATCACTCTATTCATTCTTGTAGGTGTTCTCAAGCCACGTTTGATCACCCCTACGGTCATGACAGGGACGCAGCTGATTTATTAGATTGTCCTCATCTACATTGCGATCACTGCTAACAATAGCGACGCCTTTCTGAACGCCGCCCCTGCTCGAATTTGCCAGCGGCTCATGATCGCCATAGCTGAGGCGAAGCCCAGGATGACTATGTTTTTGTGTATGATATACGTCGCCCTGACGCCATGGCATGACCCGCAGGAGTCCATTTCATCGCTTTTCATCTACGCCATAACAGCCACCGTCACGCGGTCCCGCGATGCTGAGTTCCTAGCAACGTTGGAGGCGAAGGCAGCGAGAGATGTTGGGTCCACAGCCACTGGACTCCTTTCAAGTGTGTGCGACGCGGTGGTGCATCTGTCGAAAGATCTTCAGTTCTTGGAGCAGTCCAGTCACCTTGCCTCGCTACTTCTCAGACCTCCCATCGATATAGGAGTCGGTACCTCCTTTGTTGATCTAGCTTTCGACGATACTGAGGTAGAACGTCTGACTGATTTTTTGAAACGGCCAGAGTCTAACACTAGCACTCTTCACGTGTCCTTCAAGGATGCACGGGGCAGCCCTGTAAATGTTCAGCTGTTCCACGCCCGGGGAGTTGATATGGACGACGAGCCCATCCACATCGTTGGTGTGAAGGATGATTCGGACGAGCCTCGGGCGCCGCCCGAGGCTACGTTTCGCGACAATCCTGTGGCGCAGCCTTTCACGCCTGGAGGTTTTGCAAGAATCCCAGAGGATGCGGTCAGCCTCTCAGGGAGCTCCTCTTCTGGTCTACTGACCGACGCCCCGAGCGGGGTACTGTCTGTTCACCTCGACCCAAAAGCGTTGGGCTTGCGCGTATTAAAGTGCACCCCCGAGTTCACGAGTTTGGTTGGGCCTGTTGGCGAGGGCGTTGAGTGGCCGCAGTGGGTCATTAATGATGCGGACTTTGTGAGCTGGGAACAGGGTGCGTTCCGTGCTCTGATGGACGCTCATAAAGACAGGGATGGCGAGCAGGACATCGAGTTGGACGTAGATCCATTCCCGATCCGCCTCAAGCTGCCCCACATGGGTCCAAGAGTTTCCGAGGTGCAAGCGAACGCGAGCTTGAGGCTGGACGTCTCGGAGGCCGAGGGCGGCAGCGCGTCCCTCGACCCACTGATGCTGATGATTCTGGGTGATGTCCGCTACGTTCCTCGAAAAAAGAGGGTGCGGCCGCGGGGTCCACCGAGAACCATCTCGGTATTATGACCAGTGGTGCTCCTTTCTCACCCTCCCTCCAAGAAGCTTCTTATGGTGATGTGCTGTACGCCGTGGTCTGGCTCTCCCTTCTTCTGCCTCCTTTCATCCTGAGGTCTTCGGCATGATGCCTCAGCTGGGCCACTTGCTGCATGTTTCAATTTTCGTACCTCCGCCGCGCCAGTTCGTTCGTGCATGCGGTTGCGAGCATAACCGCCTCGCGCCAGTTCGTTCGTGCGCGCCATGTAATAGTTAGAGCTATTTGCAAGGGCAGTCGGCAAGCGATTATCGTAATAAGTTACCACCGCGCTTAGCATTGTACACACTGCCGTGCATTTTCCAGAGCTGTGCAGCTATTTTCCGCGCTCAAGCGCGAACTCCAGCGTCCTGCTACGGTCTTGCGATCCTTTGAATTCTGAGACTGGATGTTCAACCATGGAAGAAAAAAGGACCAACGTCGCTTCACTTCCAGAAGAAATTTAGCATTGTCAGCGTACCCGTTGTTTGACATTTGGCAGCGTCCAAGACGGCCCACGATGCCCCACGATCTCCCAAGGAGGGCCCCAGAACGGCCTAAGCGGGCCCCAAGACGGTCCAAGAGGCGCCCAAGACAGCTCAAGAGGGCCTCAGGAGGAGCCTAAGAGGGGGAATTTGAACAGACATTTCGAGTCCTCCGCCGCAGGAGGACCCCCGAGGCCGCCAGCAAACCCCCAAGAGGCCGCAGTAGGGCCCCAAGAGAGCCCCCGGATGCCCACAATGGGTCCAAAGAGGTCCCCAGGAGATTCCAAATATTGTTTCTAAGATGCCTCCGAGAGGCATCTCGGAGTTCGATCCCAGTGCGCCAGCAGTTTGCACGATTGAACTAATCTAGGGTGTCATGGGTGTCCAGGCGGTGGCTCATGCAATAGATGTTTTCCGTTCCACACTGGGTGCCCACCCAGGATCACTTGGAATACTCATGAGATCGTACTCCACCCTGTCCTGACACATTTTCGACACGTGCAAGCACCCTGCTTGCATCCAGGGTGCCCTGGAAAGCGCGACGTTCCCGCACCAACAGGCAATGGACGTCCTGGGGTCTCAGGATTGGGCTTCTTGTGGAAGGTTTCTTGTGGTCGAACCCCTACTACACGATCAGCAGTCCAAGGAGGATAAGGTTGACGCTGAGGCGGATGACCAGGATGATTCGACGGAGGACGCCTGCCCCAGCTCCGGGCCACGTCGTCCAAGGCCGCGCCGACACGCTTGAGAGCAAGTCTGGGGGGTCACGCTGGTCCCAGCGCTGGCTCCGAGGACCAGGTCACGACTCGCCACACGACCGCCGAAGAGGGCGCAAAGACGGCCCAGGAGGACCCCCAGGAGGGCCCCCAAGAGGGCCCAAGAAGGCCCCAGGAGTGCCCCAAGAGACCCCCCCCGGGGGCTGGGACCACCAGCCCGCCGACCAAGGGCCCCAATGACGCCCCCCAGAGCCCCAAGACAGAGAACTTCAAAAGGCTCCCACGAGGGTCCCCCCAGAGGCTTCCTGAGAGCCCCCAAGGAATCTCGTTCAAAACCTCGATTCCCATCGATCCTCGATCCCTCCTTCCCTCCCTCCCTCCCCCCACCCCGCTGCCTGTAATCTCCATGGGGGGTGCAGGGCGCCCCCGGGAGCGTCCGAAGCGTCCTGGAGGGCCCCTGGGACCGCCAGGAACAGTTCGAGACCGCCCAAGACGGCCCGCGAGCGCTCCCTCACGCGCATAGATAGCCTCAGGAATGGCCAGGAAGGCCCGAAGACGTTCCAAGAGAGCTCCATGAGGCCCCGAAGGCATCCCAAGAGGCCTCCCAAGAGAGCCCCGACAAGCCAAAATCGTTGATTCTAATTGTTTTTCCCAACCATCCTGTGGTGTTGGGTCCTCGTTTTGAAGAGACGGTGCCCCGCGTCTCCTCTCCTTCCTTCCTTCCTTCCTTCCTTCCTTCCTTCCTTCCTTCCTTCCTTCCTTCCTTCCTCCTCCGCCTCCTCCCCCCTCCCCCCTCCCTCCTCCCTCCTCCCATGCTCCCTCCCTCGTCACCGCGCCCATTTCGGCACACCCCTCACGCGTTTCGTGGCCCCATAGGGAGCTCCACCGAAGGCCCCCAGTGGCTGCGTTGGCATGGCGGCGCCGCACCAATTTCGGCACACCCCTCACACGTTTCGTGTCCCCATAGGGAGCTCCACCGAAGGCCCCAGTGACTGCGTTGGCATGGCGGCGCCGCGCCCATTTCGGCACACCCCTCAAACGTTTCGTGGCCCCATAGGGAGCTCCACCGAAGGTCCCAGAGGCTGCGTTGGCATGGCGGCGCCGCACCCAATTTGGCACACCCACCACAACGTTCGTGGCCCCTTAGGGAGCTCCATCCGTATGGCCCCAGTGGCTGCGTTGGCATGGCGGCGCTCGCATCCCCAATTTGGCCAACCCCTCACACGATTCGTGGCCCCATAGGGAGCTCCACCGAAGGCCCCAGTGGTCTGCTGTTGGCATGGCGGCGCCGCGCCCCTGCGGCACACCCCTCACATGTTTCGTGGCCCCATAGGGGAGCTCCCACCGACGGCCCCAGTGGCTTGCTGTTGGCACGACGGCCCCGCCACCATTCGGCACACCCTCACACGTTTACGTGTGGACCATAGGGAGCTCCACCGAAGGCCCAGTAGTGCGTTGGACTTGGCAGGCGCCCACACCCATTTCGGCACCACCCTCTTTTTTATTCACACCGCTTCGGGCCCCATTTAGGAGCTCACGAAGGCCCCAGTGGCCTGCGTTGCATGGCTGGCGCGCACCCATTTCGGCACACCCCTCACACGTTTCGTGGCCCCACATGGAGCTCCACCGAAGGCCCCAGTGCTGCCGTCCGCATGCGTCCCGCGCACCCATTTCGGCACACCCCTCACACGTTTCGTGGCCCCATAGGGAGCTCCACCGAAGGCCCCACTGGCTGCGTTCGCATGCCTCCCCACCACCCATTTCGGTACCCCCCTCACACGTTTCGTGGCCCCATAGGGAGCTCCACCGAGGCCCCAGTGGCTGCGTTCGCAATGGCACGCTGGCGGCCGCCGCAACATTTCGGGACACCCATCACACGTTTCGTGGACCATTGGGAAGCTCCAACGCAAGGCCCAGTGGCTGCGTTTGGCATGGCGGAGCCGGGCCATTTCGGCACCACCCCTCACACGCTTCGTGGCCCCATAGGGAAGCTCCACGAAGGCCCCAGTGGCTGCGTTGGCATGGCGGCGCCCGCGCGCCCATTTCGGCACACAACCCCTCACACGTTTCGTGGCCCCATAGGGAGCTCCACCGAAGGCCCCAGTGGCTGCGTTCGCATGGCGGCGCCGCACCCATTTCGGGACACTCCTCACACGTTTCGTGGCCCCATAGGGAGCTCCACCGAAGGCCCCAGTGGCCGCGTCTGCATGGCGGCGCCGCACCAATTTCGGCACACCCCTCACACGTTGGGGCCCATGGGAGATCGTTGAGCTCCACCGAAAAAGCGGTACCCATGGCATGCGTTGGCACCCGGCTGCCCGGCCCGCACCATTCCGCCAACCCTCACACGTTTCGTGGCCCCATAGGGAGCTCCACCGAGGGCCCCAGTGGCTGCGTTGGCATGGCGGCGCCGCACCCATTTCGGCACACCCCTCACACGCTTCGTGGCCCCATAGGGAGCTCCACCGAAGGCCCCTGTGGCTGCGTTGGCATGGCGGCGCCGCACCCATTTCGGCACACCCCTCACACGCTTCGTGGCCCCATAGGGAGCTCCACCGAAGGCCCCAGCCCCCCCCCTCGGCTGCACCCACCCCCCGTCTGCACATGGCGGCGCCGCGCCCATTTCGGCACACCCCTCACACGCTTCGTGTCCCTGGCCTCCTCCCCCCTGGCCTCCCTCCCCCCTAGCCTCCCTCCCTCCCCCCTGGCCTCCCTTCCTCCCTGGCCCTGGCCTCCTCCCCCCTGGCCTCCCTCCCCCGCTCCCCGTTCGCCGTTGTTCAGCTCCCTCCCCGGCGCCGCCGGGGCTGCCGGCAGGAGCGGCGATCGGGAAGCAGCTCGGGCGGTCTGCAGCGTCCTCTTGTTCCAGGCCGAGCCCCTCGCGCCGCGCTCCCGCCGGGGGGGGGGCAGTCAGAACGAGGAGGAGGGGAGGAGGGAGGAGGAGGAGGAGGAGGAGGTTGGCGATGACGATGAGGAGGAGGAGGAGGAGGAGGAGGAGGAGGAAGAGGAGGAGGAGGAGGAGGTTGGCGATGACGATGCTGATGCTGCTGCTGATGATGATGATGAGGAGGAGGATGAGGATGCTGATCAGGATGCTGATGATGATGAGGATGATGATGCTGCTGCTGATGATGGTGATGATGAGGATGCTGATGCTGATGAGGATGCTGATGCTGATGAGGATGATGCTGCTTACGATAACGATGATGCTGATGCTGATGCTGATGCTGATGATGATGATGATGATGATGATGCAGATGATGAGGCTGATGATGATGATGATGATGATGATGATGCTGATGATAACGGTGATGATGATGATGATTATGATGATGATGATGATGATGCTGCTGACGATAACGATGATGATGATGGTAATGCTGATGATGCTGATGATGAGGATGCTGATGATGGTGATCACTTTGCTGCTGTTGATGATGATGGTGATTATGGCTGTGGTGCTGATAAAGACGATGCTTCTGCTGCTGATGCTGATGATGCTGATGATGATGCTGATGCTGGTGATGCTGGTGATGCTGTTTTTGATGATTATGAGGAAGATGGGAAGGATGATGATGGTAATGGCGATGCTGTTAATGATGATAGTGCTGCTGATCATGATGATGTCGATGGTGGTGAAGTGCTACGTGATGCTTGGTATGATATGGTATGATGATGGTGATGATGATGACGATGCTGCTTCTGCTGCTGATGATGATGACGGTGGCGATGGTGGTCGGGGTGGGGTCGGGGGTTTGTGGTGATGATGATGAAGATGGCGGTGATGGTGGTGGTGATGATGTTGACGACGACGATGAGGAGGAGGAGGAGGCGGAGGTTGATTGGCGAGGAGGTTGACGAGGAGCAGGAGGAGGAGAAAAAGGAGCATGAGGAGTAGGGGGAGGAGGAGGAGGATGAGGAGCAGGAGGAGGGGAAACAGATGAAGATGATGATGATAATGATGATGCTGATGATGATGATGATGATGATGATGATGATGCTGATGCTGATGCTGATGCTGATGCGGATGCTGCTGGTGATGCTGATGCGGATGCTGCTGGTGATGATGGTGATACTGATGATGGCAATGGCGATGCTGATAGTAATGCTAATGCTGCTGGTGATGATGTCGAGGGTGGTGAAGTGCTACGTGATGCTTGAAATGATATGGTATGATGATGGCGATGATGATGGCGATGTTGCTTCTGCTGCTGATGATGATGACGGTATCGATGGTG